GATACGTTGAGGAAGAGTCACGAATGCGTCAATAATTAACTTCAACTATACAAAACATACGTCTGGCAACGGTCCAGCCGATATCTAAATTTACGTTACTGACTTACCTGGCACAGAAGTTACTATGTTAACACATGAACACTGCATATTCACAAATATTGACTAAGTTAAACTGCATAATAGGCGGCGGGAACACACGTGAACATACCTACATGTTGGAGAAGAGTCACGATTGCGTGATTCTCCCTCGTGTAGAGGTGGTATATACGTACCCGCTGGGCAGCTACCTATATTCATGCCAAAAGAAAGGTCAATCTTACCAACAACATACCTTCTTTCTACCATTTTGGATCACCGTATACTAATTATGAACTCCGGTGTTCCTGATCAGGTTAATTTCTATGTCTATTCATAATCTAATCAGAGGTTGAGCTTGCCAGGAAAGGGTGGAATATACACGTTGATAACATCAATTCTGCGAGCTCAGGCCTGAGGCGAACAAGGACCTATTCACAGGGAGACGTTAGATCTTGAGATTATACCGGTTAACAGAATAATTCAGGAAATTAATGACTTCTTAAATAGACAACTGACACTAACTAAAACTACAAACATCAGATTCTCTTTGATGTCGGGCGACAAAAATAACATAACTTCCAGTAGCGATCAGAAACTCATGGGTATTCTTAGGAACAAACCGATGGGTGTTTGTCCTGGCAGACTCACCACACACTTACTTGACACGTCTTATTAACAATATGACAGTTGGATCAAAACAAAGGTGTTTCCCTCACATTCAAATCGATATATAGAGAGGTTGGTTTCAGTGGGTCAGAGAAAATGTGGATAACGGAGGACTGAGGCGTCTTTGAAGTGATGAGAAAAATTTGACCTCAGATGGAGGACTCAAAATAAAAGCAGAGGTACATGTTTTGTGGGCTATTGAGCGTAATATGAATAATTTGATTTGGCGTTAATTGACGTGTACGACCGTGGTCGTTACATGGCGAATTACTTGAGTTGATATACACAGACTAATTCAGATTGAGCTTACCAGGAGAAAGTGGAATAACAACGCATTGATAACTGTCTTCACAAATGCAGGGCAAACTAGGAGGAAACACAAGTGTAGCGTCTATGGGGAAAAACACGTCTTCTCAGGGTCGCTAACTCCTCATGTTTTGCGGTCGTGGAGTTTAATTCATGTTGGAATTAGGTATCATGACCGTGCTGATAGACTGGCCAATCAGGCAAGTAAGAAAGAAAATGTTGACCGTGACCTTGGCCTGCCCAATGCTGTACTTACTTAAAAACATTCAAGTCAGAATCATGAACTCTGATCTAGAAGAACTGAGAAATGCAGAGAGAGCTGGCAGTTGTAGCATTAGTAAATATGAAAAATTTTGTGACGAGAGGTACCGGTATGGCCAGCATAAGGACAGAACTAGACAATGTGATCTAGTCGTGGCCAGAATTAAGCTAGAATACAGACACATCTGGCAAGTTAGTAACGCTGTATCCATACCTGAACACTCAGCATGTAAACTTTGTGATAAACCTGTAAAGAATACACTTGAACACTATATTATGGAATGTGACACTGTCAAAGACTTCAGGCCACCTGGCTTATTGTATCATGAACTTTGTAATTACTGCATTGAATCGGGGGTGCTTGGAGACATTCTTGCTGTTTATCCCAAATTTACTAGCTCACACTGATTAATCTTCAATTAGAATATGACGTCCAATGTATATGAACCACTGTCTTGCATGGCAGCGAACAGTGACATCACTCACATGACTCTGACCTATATATACTGCTAATGAATATGATGCATTTCTTTGTGTACGAACCTCTGTCCTGCATGGAAGTGAACAGTGACATTACCCACATGAATCTGACCTATATATATATATATATATATATATATATATATATATATATATATATATATATATATATATATATATATATATATATATATATATATATATATATATATATATATATATATATATATGTATTATATATATATATATATATATATATATATATATATATATATATATATATATATATATATATATATATATATATATATATATATATATATATATATATATATATATATATATATATATTTCATGTAAATCCAATAATGAAAACGTGGATAAGATAAATCTTTTGATAGTCATTACGGAACAACGGAGTACCCAGCTTTCGTTGCCTCTGAAGATGTCTTGAATAAAGACGAAAGCTAAGGTACCTCGTTGTTTCCATTTTCCCGTGTGATTTTATCAAGATATATATATATATATATATATATATATATATATATATATATATATATATATATATATATATATATATATATATATTGTCATGGGTTGCGTTAGGCTTACCCACGCAACCAACTCCAAAGTTTGTTTTACCAGAGATAAGACGCCCGGCGAGGCATAACTGGGACATGTATTTTTCAATTAGTGTATGTTAGCCAGCCTTTAGGGGGGTGGGCAGTGGAACAGTGTTGTACTGTTCATCGCTTCACACCCAAAAACCTCATTTTAAGCAGTATCCCCTGAGCCATGGGTTAGTTAAGACGTCGCCTCCAGCCTCTCCCTCCTGAAGGGGGGGCGGGACACCACACCACACAGAGTCCTCCACCGCACTCCGTCCTGTGAACCGTCGTCGACACGAGACTAAGCGTGTTAACCTAGGTTTGTTATCCCCGTGGAAATATCACGTGTGGATGCCTGGTTGCGACAAGAGCAATCCAGGCTGGCCTATCAAACCTACAGTAAATGGTTAATTAATTCACGCTTACAGAGTTCTCCTGCACGACACCCGTCTACAGTGACCGTGATCGACACGAGACTAAGTGTGTTAACCTAGGTTTGTTATCCCCGTGGAAATATCACGTGTGGAAGCCTGGTTGCGACAAAAGCAATCCAGGCTGGTCTATTGCACCTAATGGTTAATTCAAGTCATGCTTACCAGTTCTACTTGCCGCGACAACCGTCCAGTGACTGTCAGTGACGCGAGACTATGTGTGGTAACCCTAGAGTACCTTTTTGTTGTTATGGCCGTGGGAAGAAGTTCTTGTGATGAAGCCTGGTTGCAACAAAAGCAATCCAGGCTGGCAGTAAATGTATCACTTGAAGAATTAAGGCTCTGTTAAGTCATACCACAGTAGAGTAATCACATGTGTCCCCAAGTTGGAAATTCCCTGTTTTAGAAGCTTAATTTTATTACAGCGTGAACGTGAGTGACTCATATATCCATGCAAATTGTAAATCATTGTATGGAAGCTTGACAAATAAATGTAAGTGCAATTATCTGCCCGTATCTGTGATCCTATCTTATTAGTGCTCAAGGTAATGACTGTTTGGTTATGGCAAAGTATAACCAATAACTTAGATGGATGTTGGAAATTAATGAATTCATTAAATCATCATTTATCAAGTATAAATCATGGAATGTCGAGTGGTGGAGTGAACTTCTTCGTAGATACGCCATAATCTCCTGTAAGTAACCAGTGTGAAGGCATCGAACTCTACGGTAAGAAATAAGAAGTACGACGTATTATTATCTTTATATAATATAATCCACTCATATACCACCGATTCACCCACAAGGAAAAATAAAACACGAAGTTCCCAAGCGCTTTCGTGTAATTCACATCTTCAGGGGTGAGTACAGACTAAGGAGAAGTACAAAGCAAGGTGTATATATACAGAGGAGGGTGAGATCAGGTCCACAATGGTCAGGTATTAGGTAATGACCCTACTAATCTTTAAAAAGCACCGCAACGGTCGGTAGTCAGGTCAGAGGGTAAGGTGACCCAACCTTCTCACCTGGTTACAAATCTTCTTAATTATAAAATTGTCCAGTTTGTACCTGCCATTACTCAAATTCATGTTGACTGCTTCGGTATGTTTTATGAGACTAGATTCTATAATGCTCCTACTGTCAATTGAATTACAAGGTGTTAGGACAGGCCAGGAATCTAATGCTTTGTTTGTTCATTTGAGGGATAATAAGCATTGCATTGACTGAAGATGTGAATTACACGAAAGCGCTTGGGAACTTCGTGTTTTCTTTTTTCTTGTAGTTATCAGCATATACCTGGATCACGCGCACCAACAGTGATTTACTTGCCGTGAAGGTGATTCTACTCAACGCTCTCAAACAGACAAGACCTCCTCTCAACAAGCTCCTCACCACACAGCAACTCCCTAGCACTGTACGTATGTATGTGAGCATAACACAGAGAAAATAGACAAACACAAAGAGAAATTTGACAACTGGCCACATACACTACGCAACAAGCTCTCCTCCAAAACTGAAACATTTGAATGCTTACTTCATGTGTTAAGAAATTGTTGTGCTTGTGTTTGTCTGACACTTCATGTAATAAAAATAAATATTCATATACTACTGTTTTTTAACTTAAATTCCATTATAATGTATTCCCCCCATACAGTTTTTTGATGGAATGTAGTGCAAGAAAACTAATTTGTCAGTATAAAGGGGACACAAGACTTTCAGTTTATGTACTTTGAATGATTGTGAACACAAAGGAGCCATTAGTAATAATGATAACTGAAAACACAACCATATGAAATTGTTGCTCCACAAGTACCGTATATACCATGAAAACAAGTCACTTATGCTTGTATATGGGAGTGAAGTAGCACTACAATATCTAAATATGTAGGCTAAATCATTTACATGAGATTGCATTGCCTGTTTTGATTGATTTCCATCATGTCATATGGTATAGTACATAATTAATTGAAATATTCTAATAACATTAAGTAGATAAGTATTAATGATAAATGAAAAGTCTCATAATGAAGGCAGTATAGGGGTTTAGGCGAGGAATAGGATCCGAGTTTTAAAGCAGTTACTCCTGAAATGGTTTCTAATTTAGTACTGTGCTCATGAACTAGATGGCAGGGTTTAAAGATGCTCAGAGTACGCCCGGGCTACTCGTAAAGAGCGCCGCGGTTTCCTCTCATCCCTTAACCCTCATTGGGTCGGTGTTTATCACGGCCAGCTGAGCTGGGTGAGGGAGAGGGAGGCGAGAAGAGCACCAGCCGCTGGAGGAAGTACACATACCAACTACAGAGATGATTGTAAACACCGGGTAAGTTTACTAAGACAAATCATTTACGGGTTTTGAGAGCAGATATATAAACGTGAAGATGGACTTTAATTTTGGGTGTGGGTGGATTATATTTTGTTTTAATAAATGTAGTTATTTTTCTTAAAACTTTTGGTGGGTGTAATGAACGACGGGGTAATCATTGTCCACCCGAGATGATGAGGCCTAATATGAGATACGTTTTTCCTCGGCAACAAAATCTTATATTTATTGTTAAGGGGTTCTGCTATATGTATAATATATATGTGGTTTCAACACCTTAACATCTTGTGTAACAGAAGCACCAAAGTAAGAGTAGTCATGTAGTCACTCAAGTCTTATTTAATGGGTAAATGAAGCCAGAATATGTAAATTTGTGATCTGAAGTTGTTTACATATCATCAGACAAACAGTTTATCATAGAGAATATTTAATAGAATACAGAGTCGTGGTATGGAAACAGTTTATGGTAATTTTCTATGGAAGAAAACTTGTTTCTTAGTTCATGAATAGAAAGAAATGGGGGTAAATATTCGTCCATTAGCTGTTGTCAGGTTTTGTTACAAATTTTTTTTGATGAATTTATAGTATCACACCGGTCTTTATTTCCTTATTAAAAATATGTATCTCATAATGTTTACTTAATTCTAAGAATTTTTTTGTCTAAGATATTTCCACCGGAAATCAAGGATAACCAGAGATATTAATTTTTCAAGATTATTACCTTCGCTCAGTCACGTGTCGCATTGATTTTTTAACTTATGGTGGAGGTGGTCCAGGCCTCCGACAAGGGGTCCGACTAATTATCCAAATGTCGGTCCGACTAATTATCCAAATGTCGGTCCGACTAATTATCCAAATGTCGGTCCGACTAATTACCCAAATGTACCCAAATGTAGCCAAATATAGCCGCAATGAAGTCAAATAATGGTACTACATGAATACATCGGACTGCTAATCACTTCTTGACTAGTATTTGGTGTCAAAATGTCACAAAAAATTGGAAAACTTACTTTAATCTGAGTTAATAGTAGTGCCTTTCAGCCTTCACTTCATCAGCAGGAATTTTCAAATCTTCCACCTGCTTATGCTTGATCTCCACCACAGCATGTTTGAAAAATCAGTTTGAGGTTATGGTTCCTGTAAACCATGCATTCCTGGAGTTATACTAGTGGACAGGAAGCCAGTGCATAATGTCCTTGATTGCATGAGCTTCTTGCTCTTTCCTACTACCACAGGTGTAAGTACTGTATATGGCTCCCATTAGCAGTTGCACACAGCAACGTAGACACTCGCTCTTTTGAAAGTTTCCTACCAGGCACACTATTTTCTCTTCTGGGGGCTTACGTATTTTCTGGTGAAGATTTCCAGAAAAGTCCAGTTTCATCTGTTGGCATAATCGAAAGTTTTCGGCTTCCATTAAGTCCTTCAACTTTTTCCTAAATGGCTCCACATTGCTAACATCAGCACTCGGCCTTTCACCACATATTGTTTTATTCACAATCTTGTGGTGCCTTTGAAATCTGAATAGCCAACCAGCACTAGCATGAAAATTCTTTACATTCATATTTTGCTAACCTTTCAGCAGCTGTCTGGATTTCTACACCTCTGGCTGCTATTCCACTTGCATGTTGCTGTACTTACCATTTATACACTGCCTCTTCCAAGTCATCATTCCCAACCTTCCTCATTCTCTTAATGCCAGATTTTTCCTGGTCCACATTAAATTTCATAGCATATTTGTGCAGCTTGTCTTTCGATTTTTGTATATCCGATACCGACTGATTTGAATTTCCATATTCAGCACATATTTCTGAGTGAGTAGCACCATTTTCTAGTTTTTCAATCCCCTTTAACTTTTTGTTCACTGATAAGGTCTTAGGCTTAACCTTCTCACCACCTTTACGGACACCAAACACTTTCTTAGGGGCCATGGTTATTGTTTAATTTTTCAATAAAATGCAAAAAATAGGAATGCTACTTCAGCCTACAACATAATCCCATTACTGGTAATATCAAATAAGTTTGAAAATAAATTTCAACACGTCTAAATGGCAATAAAACACACTCGACGGAGCTGAAGAGATGCTATCACAGGTAACACTAATTTATAACTCGGCTCGTCCCTTTGTTTACCAGGGTGGGTGAATCACGTGGTCTGTCCGCTTTGGCCCCTGGAAATTTTGGCTCAAGGTGGATGTGTCATCTTAGGTCAAATTTTTTTGGAATTTTTTTTTTTTTTTTACTTGTGAGTTATTTTTTTTTGAAAATTTTGTCTGGCTTAAGCAATACAGGCTGTATCTGGTTTAGTGGGTCCGACTTAACGAGGTTTTACTGTACCTTTTCATTTGTTTTCCTGTTGGTGTAGCTTATTCTTAGCATGCGGCTACAACACCACATTTCAAAGGCGTCCAATCTCTTTCTGGTGTCTGTGGAAAGTGTCCACACCTTTGATCCATCCATCAGTCCTTGCCATATAAAGCCTTTCCACAGTCCCTTTTTCTCAAATTGAAGTTAATGTCTCTTTTCATTAGTCTATTAGATTATTAAATCCTGTTTTTGCTTACCCTGTTCTTGTTTTGATTTCATCCATACATCTGCCATAACAGCTAATGTTATTACCCAAATGCACATTATTTTCTACTTGTTTAATTTCCGTTTCCTATCATTATTTTTATTTTAGGATTTATTTCCAATTTGGAAACAATCATTACTTTCATCTTTGCAGCATTAACTCTTAAACCATATTTTTCACCTTTTTCCACTTCCTTCAGCAAATTTAATAAGCTTAACTTGAACTTTGATTTTAGCAAGAACATAACTCTGAGAGACTTTACAGTGGTCCATTCCAACTGAATTAAAATGTAGGTCAGTGACTCAGTTTTGGTGCTGCCTTGATATTCATTAACCCTTAACCAGCAAATAAGGATTAACTACTCCACCCTCATATGAGCTAAAATGAACACAAAGAAAAAGAAACGTCTAATGATGATGGCTACTGTTTAATGGTTAAATAAATCCAGATTATTTTTTAATGCTCTGCTTTGGATTTGAATACAGTAAATACAGTACAGTGCTTTCAAACATTTTCATGAATATTGTGAAGAAAATGAACCATTATTAACCCTTTGGATGTGGCATGCGGGTAAACCCGCCCAAAATATTATATTAATTAAATGCGACAAGCGGGGATATCCCACGGCCTTGAAAAAACTTCCCCAAATGAGACGACATGCGGACATATTATGTATTGAGGTATCGGAGTATTTCCTGAATGCAATATAGCTTATTTTTGTACTATTTTGTTTGATATTATCTGAATATGTAATACATATCTAAATTTGCTGTTTAGTAACCAAATTGATTAAATTTATTTGCCATATACCAGACATTGATTTATACCAATTTCCTGCATTTTTGGGTATAAATGTCATTTTTTCTCTAAAATTTGCACACATATGTGAATTTTTGTTCCAGATTTGGAAAATATACTAAAAGTTCTCTAGGAAAAACATATAGAAAATGTGATTATATGAAATTCATTTTTGGCAGGATAATTGACACTTTTCAGGAACCGGCGCGAAATTTAATTACGCACCTAAAGGGTTAAGGTGAAAACCTTAAAATACAGTACAGGGGTATTACAGTACATTACCTCTTCTGAACACTGATGAGAATTGTTAGTCCAAAAACAATATGGGAGCAAAAATCATCACAATAAAAATGTTGAAGCACCATTGGACAACTAAACTGTACAGTATTTGGGTTGTGTGTTTAGAATAGTTATACTTTACACTACTGGAGAAGTTTTGTGCTGTATGCTTGAAAAAAAAAAACATTGTGTCATAGTTCAGTTGACTTTTGGAGGTACCGTATATCACGGCCTATAAGGCGGCGGGGTGCATAAGACGCCCCCCCCAAATTTCCATTTAAAAAGTAGCTTTTGAGCTCTATTTGCTGTATAAGACCAGTACCCCAAATGTGACACTTACCCACTGACTCAGTAGTCCTTTACCAACCATCCTTGATTTTTTAAAATAAGGCCAATTCACTTCAAGTAATGTCATCAAATTATACCCGCTGGTGTAGTGTAAACACTAGTGACGTCACTGAAGCGTGTTGGGAGTGTTCCCTCGTCTCGGTGGTGTGACTATTTATACAACATGTGGTTCAACAGCAACCACCGTATTCTAATTGTGGTGTTTCATTAGGATTTGAGTGAAAAAGGTTACCAGTATGTACTTACTACATACATTTATTACACATATATATATATATATATATATATATATATATATATATATATATATATATATATATATATATATATATATATATATATATATATATATATATATATATATATATATATATATATATATATATATATATATATATATATATATATATACTGAATATACTATGTACAAAAAATGAATGTTCAATGAATTATTTATGGTGCATTAGGGTACTGGTCACTTCTGATGGGCTATAAATAGCCTTCTTTATCTCCCCTCCATCTCACCCTGAGCCAGACGGAAGGGTCTTGGTAAATAACATGTTTGCTTATTTTCCATTTACTTTAAATAGATTTACCGAATTATTTGTTTTATTTATTTATTTATAATATACTGTAATATATTAAACACACTGTAATTATTTTCTTTAATTTATAAACTGTTTTGCGACAAAGGAATGTTCTCCAGTAGTGTTTCATTAGGATTTGAGTGAAAAAATATTACGTACTTACACAATTGTTCCTCTTACTTTGACAACACAACATACATACAGTATATTATTTCTCAGTTTTGATCTTTTTTTTTAATTTTTGTATTTATTTATAGTTAGTTACTTAAAATAAGGCCAATTCACTTCAAGTAATGGCATCAAATATTACCAGCTGGTGTAGTGTAAACACTAGTGACGTCACTTGAGCGTCTGTAATTAACCGTCGATAGTTTCAAGAATTAATGCACTCATTTACTGAATATTCTTTGGAAAAA